TGACCTCCTGGAAAGCAGCCCTGCGGAGAAGAACCTTGGAGTCCTGATGGACAACCAATTAAATATGAGCCAGCAGTATGCGCTTGTGGCCAGGAAGGCCAATGGTATCCTGGGTTGTATTAGGAAGAGTGTTGCCAGCAGGTCAAGAGGTGATCTTTCACCTCTACTCAGCCCTGGTGAGGCCCCACCTGGAGTATTGTGTCCAGTTCTGGGCTCCTCAGTACAGGAAGGACATGGAACTCCTGGAGCATTTCCAGCAAAGGGCAACTAAGATGATTAAAGGACTGGAGCATCTTTCATATGAGGAAAGGCTGAGGGAGCTGGGCCTGTTCAGCCTGGAGAAAGGACATCTCAGAGGGGATTTGATTAATGTTTATAAATATCTAAAGGGAGAGTGTCTATAGGATGGGGCCAGACTCTTCTCATTGGCACCCAACAATAGGACGTGAGGCAATGGGCATAAACTGCAGCATAGGAAGTTCCACCTGAACATAAGGAAGAACTTCTTTACTGTGAGGGTGACTGAGCACTGGAACAGGTTGCCCAGAGATGTTGTGGAATCTCCCTCCCTGGAGGGAGGGAGACTTCTGACTTTCTCAGAAGACTGGCTGAAAGACAGATGTTTAGTAGATTATCCTTTAGGTTTGTAATTTATTCTGTGTCACTGCAGATAGGTAGGTTTTCCTGCATTCTCCAAAACATAGGTCTGTAAAGTGACACATTCCATTCATTTACAATCATAATTTTTCTTAGTAAATATATGAAACTATTTCAGAATGGGATTGTGCATGGCTATGAGACTACACTCCTCTCCAAAGTCAGAAATAGAGCTAAAGATTTCTGTCTGTTCCTGCTCTTCAGTTCTGTCAGCGCTCATGTAAACCACTAGCAGAATGAGAACCCCTCAGCCTCTAGTAGTGCCTGATCGTGTTGCTTTCATCTACATCTAGAATTTTATCTTTACTGTAGCATGACATGATTGTTGCAGAGTAGCTGGTGGATGCTTTGTTGTTCTCCACAAATTCTTGTCTCTGTGGATGTAAGAACACTGACTTGCTTTTCAGGAACATGCAGAATTTGAAACTAACTCCTAAATACAACTATGTGTCACTTGGATGACTTTATCGTGATCTTGTGCAAGAAAGTAATTCTGTGCCCTATTTTTTAAAGCTTGTATTTGGAAATGTGTTTTGTTGTGATTTTGATTCTGAATACTGGATAACTAATAAATGTATAAAAGAAAGGAGTATTTTTAAAATGCTTTTTATCTTTATTGTATAAATTGATAGGTACAGTTGTATCTACTGTATCTCTTCTCTAATTAGAGGTGGCACATGGACTGGCTCATTACTTCTGTCTAATGAGCCGGTCCTTGTGCCACCTCTCTAATCAGAAAAGAGATAGGTACAAAATGTTCTTATAAAGTTATTATAAATCATTCTTTTTTATCAAAAAAATTAAGTCACTGCCCTCTATAGTTTTGTCCAGGTCCAAGATGATTTCATTCAGGAGGGGTAATTGTGCAAGAGAGCTCTCTGAGTGCTGAATTAAAGGTGCTCTTGTGCTGTGCAAAGCGGCCTTCTGCTCAATAGATTACTTATTTATAGTATATTTTCTCAGGTTTAGAGCAATTTGTTGGAAGAATGCAAGATTTTCGATTTTACCCAGTGGCACTTACAAACAGGTAAGGAACCTTCATTTTTGTAAGAAACAGGAGTGTGGTGAGAAAGAATAGATAGCAATATGCTTATTTCCCAAAGTCTTGTGATTTTCTGACATCTACTTTAGATGATGTAGTTTACCAAACCTTATTTTAAAGATGACTTTTAATCTAAAAAGTCTTGAGTTAAAATAAAGTCAACAACTTAATGTGGTTTTCTTTTGAATAATATAGCTAATATATGTAATATATATGTAGTGGAACCCCACACTCAGTAATAAATGGGTGCTTTCCTTGTTATTGTTGTCCCTGTTACAACCTGACTTAAGTGTTCTTGCAGAGAGTAGATCCAGTTGCTAGATTTCAGTGCTTATAAACTATCTAGGTTTTATCATTATATCATAATTCTGACATAATAGCGTGTCCTGATAAGCTTAGTTCTGCTGGATGAGATTTGCCAAGCTTTCACAGAGCTCCATGTAAACTGTGGGGCAAGGAAGGGAGCATAGTGAGCCGGTCCAGTTTAGACCACTTTAATGCTAGTGATCCAAGTGAAGAGGACAGGCACTCCCAGCTGGTCAGCATGCTGGCTTCATGGCTGTGAACTTGGCTTCCATGCTTAGCAGTTCCTTTCCTCTGGTTTCAGCTTCCCCATGGTATCAGATGTCCGTGTCAGGTATTCCTGATGCTCTCCCCCACCCCACACACACACTCTTACCCTGATGTGCTATTGTCTTAACTGTTCATTGCTTTCTATATTAGATTGTCACCATAAGATAAGCCACCAGTGACTTTGCTAGCTCAGCTAACATAGCCCTGGGCAATTGCTTTGACTTCCTTCATCCCTAAGGCCAAATTAGGTTTCCACTGCAATTTCTGTTGCCCTCCAGCCTCCCTTCCTAGCATATTACAAAGAAATGTTACCTTTGTTATCTAGCTCATGCTGGATTAATCTAGTCAATTCAAGCTGGCCAGGAGTCGTCAGGTCCTATTTGTCTGTGTGGTGCTTCTGGGTAGGCTACATGCAATGACACTTGTGACTGCAGACCTTAAGGCTACTTACTGATAGTCTTTCAATAAGATATAGAGCAGTTTCCTAGGAGCTCAACTGTCTGCAGGACAATATGATGAGCTGAGCTTCTGTGAATTTAAAGTATTAATATGAATCTGAATTCCAAGTTATTTGAAAATCCTGTTGGTTGTATTCTTTCAGAGCAGTGCTTGTCAAATCCTATGAACTACGGTCAGTGAAATGAATAAAGTTTAAAAATTGAAATTTAAGGTGTTTTACAAAGTGTTGTTTACAAAGGCTTTGTAGATGTAGTTTTATATCCACAAATAACTTGGTTCAAAATGTTTATCTGGGATAAACTGCGTATGAAAGTCTTGCCTGCCATCAATTTAAGTCTAAGGCTATCTAAAAGGTCCTGTAGCTTTGGGTTCTGAAGAATTCATAGTGGCATCTATCAGGTATTTATTTGCTTAAGAAGTATACAAAAATTATATTCTTACTGATAAAGTAGGAAAATGGGAAAAGTAAGAGGTTTTTAATTTAAAAATTCAGTGTCTTCTAGGCTCACAAAATTCTTCTTTTACACCAGAGATGAACAGATACAGGTTTAGGTAACCTGCTCATGTCATTCATATATCTATCTGCTTGCCTACCTACCTATCTGTGTATCTGTATTTCAGTTGATGCCAGAGGGAACTTAAGTGACTTAATGGCTTTGACATGGGTTGTAAGAGGCAACCAGAGTGATCAGACTGGAGCAGCTAAAAAAGTGGGCATTTGTATTAAAGTTAGTTGAAAGTGAAAGTATTTATATCCAGGTTTTCTAAGGTACAATGTGATATTGCTCAGCCTAGTCTTTTTGGAGGATTTGAGTGCAAACATTCGACTCATCTGTGGTTACAGGCAATACGCTGAGGCTATGGTATGCCTAAGAGCAGGTTCAGATCAGTGATTGGAGTCAGAACGTGATGCTATAATAAAATGTTAAGAGTTTTTCTCCTTGCATCTAAGGCAGGATTCGTTCCCCCTAGCTTTAAGCGTCCCAACAGGGAGCTCATTTCCCTTGGCTCCATATGTGTCTGTGGAGCAATGAAAGCAATTCCAGAATGCTTCTTCACAGACACCTTCCGAGATTGCTGGCTGCTTACCATCGATTGCATAGGGATGCTGGGTGGCCTAATTCCTACCTGATTGCCCCATTTGTGTGAGATGAAACCAGGCCTTTAGGGCTTCTACTATAATCTAAACTGAACTTTGTTTAATCTGTGAGCCTAGAGACACAAAATGGCACTTGTCCTTTTTTATCATATATTTAATTATTTTTGTATATGCTGTGACAGAGACATTTTGGAAGTATTCTCTGGAAAATTTCCTCACCTCCATACCCAATCTGAGTGCCGCTGTCCTGGAAGTCATCCTCGAGTGCACCCATTGATACAGAGGTACTGCATCCCTAATGGTGCAGATGATACCACTAATGACAGAGTACTGAGGTTGGATGCAGATGCCCATCCTCTGTATTACATCAATGATGATGACATTGGGACCACCTGGATTTCATCTGTGTTTGCTAATACTGCAGATCTGGATCATGGTGTTTCTATCACAATAGATCTACAAAATGGACAGTATCAGGTAATGAGAAAATTACATTTGCTGTTTATTAAATCAAAACTAGGAAAATATTTTGTTGACATTGCATTACAATTTTGAGGAAATTCAAACCTTAAGCTTTAAGATATTATCCTTAGGGGACCAAGAAGAAAGTGTCCTTTATCAGCATGAAACAACGCAAAAAACAACAGAACGCATTATGGTTCTTATGATTCTCTTTCGATGTGTTCTGTTGTAACAAGCAGTAATCTAGAATAGTTAAACCAGAGCGGATATGCTGTGTGAAAACACCAGTATTTAGAAACTGGTTACTCTCTTTTAACTCCACTTTTGTAAATTTCAAATTCAATTTTAATTTTTATTAAGACTTGAGGTGCTTGTTTTATACCTTCTGGTAGAAAGCTGACTGCAGTCAAATGTAATTGAACATACTGTGTCACACTGACATATCAGAGGGGATTTCTGTTTTGTAGATGTTCTGGAGATGGTAGTTTAGCCTCCTGAAGAACATGGGAGGAGAAAAGTATAAGCAGGAAAAGTTCCTGAAGAGGCCAGATGGTACCTAACACTTCACTGCACTGTTGAAGAGTTTCAGGATGTCTTGGAAGGAGGAACATTATCAGCAGTGGGGCTACATTCACAAAGGGGGATCTACCAAGCTTCCATATATTCCTGCTAGCTTTTTTTTTCTTTCTTTCTTTAATGGTGAGAAGGGAAAGAAGGTAGTGACAGATTTTGACTACGTAATTAAGAATCAGTCCTTTAGTTAAAAGGGAGTTCAAATGTCTGTGAAGTTCTGAGACTTGGCTTGGTTGACACACATACATTTCTACGTAAGCAGTATGCTGGGGGAAGTGCTCTTTAATACAACACAGGATATTTGATGAGATTCCAAGATAAAAATAGGGATATTCCATAAAAAAAAAATAAAAAAAAAATGACCTGTTACGAGACAAACTACTCATCAAATATTTGGCAACACAAAGCTATGCCCTTCATTTTTTGCCAAAATAATATTACTATAACAAATCATGGACTTTTTTCCTACATTTAGAAAAATGTAGACCATTTTTCAAATAGTCTTCAAGAAACAGTGGAGTTCTGGTGCAACAGTTTAGTTGTGTAATAATGTCTGAGAGATCAAAGAGCTTGTTTAACAAAAAAAAAAAAAATCTTTGTTTTTAATTGGGAATGTGTGGACTGAGATATTGGTTCTTTTTCTGTCTTTGAGTGATGAAGCAGACTATACTGTCACATTGAAAAAAAAAAAGTTTATATTATCATTGTTTAACATGTTGGCCATCAAGATAAGTTTATAAATTTATTATATTCTTGTAGGTATTCTATATTATACTGCAGTTCTTTAGCCCACACCCTGAAGCAATAAGAATTGAAAGGAAAAAAAGAGATGATCTGAACTGGGAAGACTGGCAGTATTTTGCTAAAAATTGCAGTGTTTTTGGAATGGATAACAATGGATCTTTGGAGGAACCAGACTCTGTCAACTGTCTCCAGCTTCCTAGGTATGAGTGGGTATTATCTGCATAACACAGATGCTTTGAACAGTTAACATTGTGGCACGATTCATTTGTATGTCCCAATGAGGCAGAACCTTTTAATTTGGTATACTCATGTATTATGGGCTGCTGAGTATATAAAAGGTCCCAAATCTGACCTTTTGATTAAGATTGCCAAAGGTCATCTATCATTTTTACCAGATTTCAGACATTGAAGAATGTGACACAATTGATTCCTCTGTTATTTTTGAGCTAGACTTCTGAAATTTTACATGCTTGTGTGTTGGAACGCTATTGTCAGTAGAATTAGAGAACATTGAGATGAAGAGTGAAAGAAGGTACTGGTACAGCAGATTGTTTAAAACAATCTAGTGAATGTGAAAGTATTCCTTCTGATCTCTAAGAGTGTAACTTATTCTGAAGCTTAGAAGCGAGGCCAAACTTAAGTACAAAAGCTAATCATTCAGCATTACTGCTAATCATGCAAAACATGTAAGAAATGGGTTGAAAATTGTATCTTGATGCTTTCTAATCTTTCAAAGCAAAAACCAAAATAAAACTGGGGCAAAAAGGATCATTAGCTTTTAGAAACATGTTGCAAGCCTTTTTACTAGACACTATATGCAAATTTTAAAATATAGAATATATACAATATGCGTTTCATAAATTTAGCATATAACATAATATATAGGTAATATGTATTATCATTTTACATGCACACATGTATGTATGTACATATATATATATACACACACATATATATGTGTATATATATTCAAATGCACCATCCCTTGCCTAGTTTCAGGTGTCAGTCAGTGTTAGGCTTGTTTAGTACTTGTCTGGAAATCAGTCAGAAAATAAAGTACTAGGTGCTGTAGGCATTTTGATTTTTTTTTTTGTTTCATTTTTGCTACCCTCCTAAGACTTTTCAGGCATCAGCATCTTTGTTCTTCAGGAGTTGAGCATTCTGAGGAGAGGAGCATAAGGTCATCTGAGTTACATCAGTTTTCAGTAAAGGACTTTGAAATTTATTGCTGATCCTTGGAGCAGAGGGTAGAGAAGGGAAATCTCTAAAGTCAGCCAGACATTTTTTTGATAAATAACTCAAATGAGGTGTAATGCCCTTTTCAGCCCAGAAATGTGTATTTGTATATTTTCTAAAATCCCACCACAATTGCCCTATCAGAGGCTTGAGTCTCTGCTTAGTCTGAATATTGACTGACCCTTGGTTTAGGATCTCCTTTGTTTTCCTGGTTTCCTGAGAAGCTGCGTGTAGATGCCCTAAGATCTTGACAACCTGCTTATCCTAGGTCCTGTCACCCTTACAGTCCTTTTGCTGTTCCTTCTGGTGCTTCCATACCCAGATGGTGTCATTCATCTGCCATTCATACCCATCTTAGCGTTCCGATTTACAGCTCTATATGTCATGGAAGAAAAATACTTTATTTAACTTTCTGTGGAGAGGAGGAGAGGACAGTATCCCCCAGAGAAACATATAGATATATTCCACTGAGATTTTTGCAAAGCACTGATCTGGATAGGGGCACAATAAATTCAAATATCCTTCATGAAGACAGAGGAGTGTGACTCAGCAGACCTAGTCTAACTATGAATCTCATCTTTCAAAAGCTCAGAGATATTTTGAAGTGAGAAGAATAACAGTTTTTGAATGCTGTATGTCAGGTGCCAGGTGATATTGTGGGATGCCTATTTTTAATGAGCACAAGTGGGTGTGCAAATAAGCAGGCATTCTTGCCTCTTGCAGAGACAAGTTCTACTCATAGCTAAACTCTGCCTAGTGAATATACCAATGTGAGATATGATTCATACCAAACTGTGCAAAAGTGCCGTTTATATATACTTGTTTACTCAGCCTTTGCGTGAATTCTCAGAACTGTCCTTCCCCTTCTTGGGCTTAAATATACAGTTTTACTCTCAATCCTGCTGCATTCCATTAAATTCTCTTGCACTCCACTCACTGGAAGGTGGCTTGTGTTTCTAACTCTGCACGTGCATTGAATGAGATGATACAGTCCAGTGACTCTGGAATTCAAAGTATAATTGTTTCTGTATGGTTTTTGTATGTGTTTAGGAGGTGTATAATTAACAATATGGGCATATTAGTTGTTAGTTGTCGGAATGATTTTCTTACGTAGTTCAAGTGTAGTACGTGTTTCTCAAAGACACTGTGTTAAACTTTTTGAAAACTTAGTGCAGATTACACTGTATCAGTCACACTTTATTCATATTTTGAAGTTGCTTCTTAGAGGCCTTACTTGTAATTCAAAAGTAAGGGTCTGGAGAAGAACATGGCAAATTGTGGAAGAACAGACATATAAAGGACATTTCCCAAGCTTGAATTCTGGTGACTTTCATAAGAATTTTCCCCAGAAACCACAAAAAAACTAGGTACAGTTAAGTGGAGACCTTGTCTGAGAAAAGGGTATTAAGAGATAGAATCTGTAAGATATGTGATATTTTTATTTTCATTTGTCTTTTTGTCTATTTGAACAGCTTTACACCATATTCTCGTGGTAATCTAACTTTTAGTGTTCTTACCCCGGAACCAAATCATCGACCTGGTTACAATGATTTTTACAATACTCCACCTCTCCAAGAGTTTGTAAAAGCTACACAAGTGAGGATTCATCTCCATGGCCAATATCATACTAATGAGTCTTGGGTAAATTTTAGGCATAGATACTACGGAGTTAATGAAGTTACAGTCAGCGGAAGGTAGGTGTTATGGAACTCTTCCCCCACCCGTCACTGCCTACAACTAATACAGCTGTGCAAAGTAGATAATGAACTGCCTAAAATTTAATTAAGTTGTTCTGCTTTTACATTTATGAATGAGAAGGGAATTTTGTCTGAAGCCATGTGTCAAGTTTGAGATTATTTGTGTACTGTTTTTTGTTTTGTTTTGTTTTTTTTTAAAACATTTGCTCACGTTATTTTAAAATTAATTATACTTATTACACAAATCTGTCAAAAGTCATAATTTCCTTGGAACCGATGCCTCTAAACAAAGGCTTATGATAGAAGCCATGGCTTGTGCTGTACTTCAGTAGCTCTTCCAAGTTCCATTATAGATTCCCAGACATGGCAATTTTTAACAGTCTTAATGCAGAACTCATTCTTTTAGTTGTAATCTTCCATTTAAAACTGGGCAGCTGTCAGTAGAGGTGTTACATTATCTGTGACTGACAACTTTATTGTATATAAGTGTGTTGACATGTGAAAGGACTAATTATGCCTTGTAAATAATATGCAATTTTGTCAATGAAATAGTTTCCAAGAAACATATGGTGCAGATTTTTGTTAATAAGTACTATTCCTGAAATTATTTTGGTAGCTGAGATCTCCTTTTGAGAGAAAGCACCCCATTAGAGGTCACGTTTACCTTAAAATTTTCTACACTGTTAATGTTTTAATTATTAAGTGTGTTATTATAATGCTTTTACTGAAATAGCTACAAGCTTGGTGACTATGTAACAGTAAAATAATTTCAGTTGTAGTTTGCAAAACTATAGCAAGTGTCCAGAAGAGCAGCCCTTCAGGCAGAGTGGGATGGCTCATTGCATATTAAGTAATACTCTATAAAGATTTTATTTTAGTAAGAAATGGACATTTTAACTGAGATCAGAATGGGTTAAAAGAGATTATGCTTGATACAGAATTTTTTTAAAACTATAGCCACCCTGTAAGGCTTAACATTGATGAATAATTGCCATTTATTTAATATAGTTTTACATGTTAGTGTTATATACTGAAATATAGTTTTCACTACATATTGTATAAGGTAAAAGTAGCTCTACTACATGCTGCTTTTATTTTCTTGGATAGCAATCATTGATACTTAAAAGTATGTTGAGTTAAGTAGTCTTTTGTAGGTTATGGTGTTTAAGAACATTCTCTTTGGTAGTGTGTGTTTATACTTAATAAAGAACCAGACTATGTAATACACCAAATTGTCTTTGTGACCATGTTATATATGGTTGGACGGGTGTGTTTCCATGTTTAATTTTTTCTTCACTACCTATTATTCTTTCAGGTGTAATTGCCATGGTCATGCTGATAATTGCGACACAGCTATGGAACCGTATAGGTGCCTGTGCGTCAAGGAAAGCTATACAGAAGGAAATAATGTTAGTCTCTCCTTTGTCTATCTATGTCACCTATGAA